AGTTAAAAGAAAATGTTTACCTTTTATATTTGTATAAATTATATTACATGAATATAAAGTTGGCAAATAGTTGGGACACTTGATACGACACGACGAACTTATGAACATTATAATAGAAGGTAAGATAGAAGGATGGAGGGGAAGAGGGAGACCAAGGAAGGAGTTGGTGTCGTGTCGTATCATTTATAACTTACTTGTTATATCAGTAATTAATATGCCATATGAATACGGATAAATGTAATATAATATTAAGTAATATATATTAACATATGATGGTATTTGTAAAATGTGCATTGTATAAAATGTACATAGCAAATAAGTTAATTTAGATTTTTATAATTATTTATAGTGTCATTATATTATGGCAGAATTAAATATATATATATATATATATATATATTGTATTTTATATACTAAATTTGTATATTAAATACACTGATATAGTGTCTACTTTATTTTGGCATTTAATAAATAAGCGATTCACACTTTATTAAACTAAACGGAATAATAGAAAGCAAGTTTCCATGTATACATTTTTTTAAAATTTTCATTCAAGTTTATAATGTTGTCATTGTCGGATACGCGACCGTAGTTCCGAGATGGTCATTAGTCAGAGAATTCGAGTGTCAGTCAAACGCAATCATAGCGCCTCAGGGCAGTGATTCCGTGGTCGACGGTGACGGTGCATTCAAAATACCTTTGGGCTTTCCCAACAGTTTGCGTAGTCCAAATAGCAAATAGATCTCGCATTTGTTGTTGGAATAGCACGCTTTGACGCACTCGCCCCTCCCGTGTATTTGCCCTGTACCAAGTATTTGTCACCCAAAATAAAAATGTATATTTACATAATATAGTTTCGCGGAATGAACTCGCGTCAAACTTCATTTGTCACTGAAGAGTATTCGGTACTGATGGTCAACAATCTGTTTACGACTTGTTAGCATTCTATGTAATTGGAAATTACTTTTCATATTTAACCTGTGCTGTGGTCCGGTTTGAAGGGTTAGATATAGCAATGAAATTAGTAGATATTATGACTCAAAATCATGCCATAAACGCAGGCAATGCGTGAGCTTTAACTGCACAAGTAATACTTCTGATGTTGCAAAGTTATGGGCCACTATGACCACACACCATAAGGTGGATAGATAATACATATCTATTATAATATAGACATTATTTATAATTACCACAGTTATTGTATTTTTAAAAAATATATTTTTTGATGTCCGCAATATTAAATATATACCTACTTATACGTATTCGTATCAGCTTTTAACTGTCTGTTGCTAAACCTCTTCCTCTTCTCCCTCCATAAACAGTATTTGCCATTGAAAGGTTTTGCCAGTAGTTGCCACGCTTAGCAGGTGGGTTGACAACCACAGTTTGGCTTTGGTGTAGTTTTAAGAGGGACGCTACTCCCATCCCTCTACCATTCAATATTTATTACTTATTTACATATACTCATCACCCACCTATTTCCCTGAAGTCAAATAGACAGTTTCATCTAAGCTCTTTTGACAAACGTCTTTAACCAGAGGGAGACTGTACAAAAGTCGTTTGCTTCGGCACTTCTGTCCTATTCGTGTTTCTACCGTGAAGCAGTTGTGTTTGCATGGCTGTGTTTCGCTTTGAAGGGTGGGATATGACAGTGAATTTACAAGGTACAGAGGAATAACACCTTAGTCCTGAGGAATGGCAACGTATGTGGGGTATCATGGGTGAAACAGTATGCTCTGTTATGTCCACTTCCCAGCAGGTGGGCCGTCGGCTTGTTTGTCATTCTCAGTTGTATAAAAAAAAAACGACAAAAGTGAAAATAATATGCTGATGGCATATAGATAAATAAATTTCTCACTCTTAGTCTTCATACATTATTTTGTTTGGGGATTATACAAACAATGGATTCTTTTATTACCAATTTCTAGTTAATTCAAGGCAAAAATTTCGTACATTCTCAAGCTTTAATGACATAAAGATAAAGTGTACAAGTGGACAACTTATGCGATAGTATACGAAACACATCCTTCCATCCATTGAACTGGGATATCTTTTACAAAAAGAGGTGACACTGTGCAAAAAATATTTTACAATAATTATATTCTCTGTGTTTAAAAAAAAAAACAACAATTGATGTTTTTATCAGCTTAATCTTTAAAACTTTTAGGGTCATATCGGAATGTGGTGAGAAGCGACTGCGAAGCGATAATTAAGGCATAATGATATTGTTTACCAATATCGCTTGCTTTTGTTACAGTATAAAGAAATTCCTGTCTACTTACAATGATTTGTGTAACACCTTAATTTATGAATGGCTATTTGGAAAATAACAATGCGCGTAAGTATGAACGAAATGTCCTCAAAGCGACTCATTTAAGTAAATATTCGTGTTAGGTATGAATCATGTAGTCGTGACTTAGAAATTGTATTGACTTAAGTATACGCCTATGTGGATGACGAAACAAATAAATAATATTATATATATATATATATATATATATATATATTTAATGTATGTATATGTATTAATGTTGTTATTATATTCATAACCAGAACAAATTGTTATATAGTGCCAACACCGTAGGGTGAGGACCTGGTGATCTGTAACACAGGTTTATCCTACTTCAGACACCAGTTCTTCACAATACATTAAATTATGTAACCTCCAAAAATAAATGTATTAGAATATAATAGATGTACAACTGGTATTGTAAAGAGAATAAACTTTATTATTATTAAAAAAAAATATATATTATAAAACATAATCATATAAATAATCAATACAGTCAACCTTTCTAATATTGTAAATGTGTACTCTTTATTGTTTCTGCCAAAAGATTACAATAGTAATTATAAATTGTCTGTACGACTACCGTTCAGTTAACATATTGTAAGAATCGCTCAATACTATTATTTTAAAAAGTGAAGTTTACAGTTGCCATTCCTATCTTTGATTAAGTAAATTCTGAAATTGAATCCTTTTGTGTTTGAATTGTGCTGTGACTTGAAGTATTTATGGTATTTTTTATGGTTTTTTTTCAATCAAATCTATTTATACGTAAAAACAAAATACCCACGAAAAGTGGTACTGCAAGTGTCTTATGATAACGCGTAAGCGACGCGTTCTCCACGGCGCTTACGACGTTCTTCTCGCGGTTTCGCTGAGTTTGTGATACACTTTGCAACCTGCGGGGTCTAGCATGAAATGAAATTCCGAAATTTAGGACTTAATTTTGTGTTTTTGTTTATACCAAAATCGGACCAATAAATGGAGTTTAACATTTCGTTCGTCATATATCCTATCATAAAAGTCCAAAGGAACAATATTTTAATATTTTTAATATTTCCAAACGACATGTATTATGTAATTTTAACATCAAATTTGTGTTTCGTTTGGCTCCGAAATTTCGGAAAATATTTCATGGTAGCCCCTCGTACTGTTTTATTGTTAAGGCTCCAAAATAACACAAAATTCTTTGAAATTGTTAATACGCCGATTGACCTAGAAGCAATAAAACCAATTTTTTTTTAATTAAAATTATTGAATATCAGCTTTTACATTATGCCTTTGGTTTCGAATATATGGGGTTACTGTAGCGGTGAATCGTCGAAATAAAGATAAAAAAATTATCAATTGTAATGGATGTAAAAGGTCATACCATTTTCTTTGTCTGTCAATTGATGAAATCGCAAAGGATTCGAGGGTTTTTCGAATATGGAAGTGTCCGGGATGTTTGAACCAGTCTCCGAAATCCTTGAGAAGCGATTCGACTCCCGTGCGTAATTCGTCCACGCCTCGAGTAAGTAAAAGACCTGCACTGAACTCAGCATCTCCTATTGGAATGTCCGCCACTAGAGAGGATATGCGTTCTATTATACTCGTACAAGAAGTTATAAAGGAGGAATTCAGTGCTATGATAGAACGCATCAATACTTCTATGATAAACACCATCATCGAACATATGGAACCTATAAAAAGGGAAATAATCGACATTGTCCACTCTATAGATCTTATTAATAAAAGACAACAATGTCAACTTCATCCGCAATATATATAAATGTCAAATTTATTTTTATTTCTGGCATTTAAGTTAGTCACCAGTACAAAAGTTATTATCGAAGTAAAAGCATTTTTCTAATAAAAGGGATCGTAACTTAATTAAAAAAGAATTGAGATTTTGTATAATTTTCCACTGGACAGAGGGCCTACCATGAAATGTTTTCCGAAATTTCGGAGCCAAACGAAACAGAAATTTGATGTTAAAATTACATAATACATGCCGTTTGGAAATATTAAAAATGTTAAAATATTGTTCCTTTGGACTTTTTTGATAGGATGTATGACGAACGAAATGTTAAACTCCATTTATTGGTCCGATTTTGGTGTAAACAAAAACACGAAATTAAGTCTGAAATTTCGGAATTTCATTTCATGGTAGACCCGCAGGTATGTTATGTTTTTTTAAAAAAAAGAATCTTCATTGTCAGTAATTAAATTTTTTATTAATATTATTGGTACTTAACATATTATTTGTTTCTAAATAACTGCAATGGTGACAGAAATTTAAATAAATATTTACATAAATTATAAATAATTATATATATACACACATGCATTCACATATATACATACATACACATACACATATATATACATACACATACACAAAATACACACAACGTACATATAAATATCAGATTGATGACATTTACAAATAAGTACGATTGCTTTGATTCGTAGGCATTTAGTACGTTAATAGAAGGAAGTTATTGAAGAATAAACTAATTTTATTAAAAAAGCATATGATTATCGAATTAGAAAGGTACTTAACATATTATATGAATAGATAAACTGATTTACAAATAAGTACGATTGCTTTGATTCGTAGGCATTTAGTACGTTAATAGAAGGAAGTTATTGAAGAATAAGCATTTTATAAAGCATATGATTATCGAATTGGATCCTGAATTTAGTTAATACACGCGTTATCGTGGCTTAATTAAATCGCGCAGATTGTTTTAGAATGTAAAACAAGCACAGGAAAAAAAGAATTCGTGATTTTTTACTCTACTATGTTATTTTTTTCATTTATATATTTTTAAATGCAAAGTGAAGCTTATTTTTTAATTCATACAAGTAATATTACAAATAAATAACTTAGAATTTATTTAAAAAGGGTTGGGTTGACTGGAAGAGATCTCTGTCAGAGATAAGTCCACCCTTGCTCAAAATATTTACAAATGCATTAACAATGTAATTTACAAGTGCAATAAAGAATATATATAAAAAGAAATTATGGACTGTGTTGGCTCGTTTCCACGTGTTGATTGAAAGAATAATTTTGTGGCGATTCCTGGTAATTGTCCATTTCAGGAACTAGATTTTCAACCGTGGTCGGTATTTGAGGCGACGGCGAGGTCTCCCCCGTGTTGTACGGTAAATACCTCTGAGCGTTATAATATCCACGACGGTATTCGTATTGCTCGCAATCTGTATGATACAAGAGATTGTTTATTTGGTGCTGTACGTCAATGTAGGTTAGTTTAGAATAAGTCCTAAACTTGGCGGCTAAATAATTCGCGTACAGCTGATACTCGTCTAATTCGGTGACCGCTTGAGCTTCTGCGTTTGTGGTCTTGGTAAGCGAGCTTGGTGAATTCGGCATGTCAAAAGTCGGTTCAATTCTCGTGTCTTTCTGTGCGACAAATGTCCTATATTTTTGTTTAGTCCTGACCGTGGATGTTGAAGAGTCGGTATTACGAGAGGTGACTTGTTCCTCAGACGTGATACTTCCTGTTGAGGGTGCTCGCGTGACGAATTCATGGTCTTCATGCTGCTCTTGTTCCTGCAATTGAAATTAATATTTATTCTTTCAATTTCAAAATAAAAAAAAATATTATTATTTCTGTCGTTAACTGTCCACTGCTGGACAAGCTTTCCCTATAAGGGGAGTTTTGCCAGTAGTTGCCACACTTGGCAGGCGGGTTGGCAATCGCAGTTAGGCTTTTAGAGATGTTGTAAGAGAGACGTTGCTGCCCATCCCTCGTTCTCCGTTAGTCACTTCTTGCTCCTGCAGGAAAGGATGATGCGCCTCATTCTATGCCGTGGCACACACGGCGAAGGGAAAATATGTATATAATTATTAAAAATTATTAGAATTGAGAAGTGAAAAATTCTTATATTAAATTATATGTACTAACTGGTTGTCTTGCTAACGGATTAAAGTTTAGTGAAATGATAATGATTATAACAGAAGGCATTCGTGTCAATTATAAATAAGATATTACTTTGCGTGTTGTTATAGAAAATTTATAATAAATGGAATATTAGCAACAGTTATTCGTTTGTGCCTACTAGGGTAGGATTGGGATTGGATCCCATTAGGATGGGAGACAGTCGTGAACGATCTATATGTAAAATATTAGTATCATTCTAAGATGCTTTCTTATTGTCGAAATGATCTTAAATGATGGTAGAATAATTATTAATCTATCTAATGTAATCCTTTTTTAAATGTACCTATATATTTATTAAAATTATGTTTACTTACAGTAAAATTTTTTTGATATTGTTTACTTCTGTTCAAAAGGAACTGCATATATTTAAAGGGATACCAAGTGGATTGGTATACCTCAGCTCCTGGAGTAAAAACATAAACATAAATTATTTTTTTAATTTAATAACTACCGGTTTAACTTACGTGTAATTAGATCGAGAAAGCTAGATTTGTTTTGGAATCAATTCGCAATCCTTAGTCATGAGCGACTGTGAGGCGAGCATGAATCTGACTGTGCGACTCGACCTGTTGAACGCGAGTTATAGGTGCTTGCGGCATCATCACAGATAAAAAAGACGGCATTCGGAACTCTTCGGGTATGAACGGCAGGTCTCCGTAGCTTTCTTCTTCATCTGCCATGTTATTGCCACATAGCTGTGTTGGTAAGCCGTCGTGTACATACAGTGCTCACAGTGTCGCCCTTCAACTTGACCTTGACCTTGACATCTTTGGCCTTGACTGTGGATGAAACACGGAGAAGCGGCACTAAGGCACTAGTCGAGCTTTTTCGATCTAACTACATATGAGTTAAACCGATAGATATTCTATTAAACAATATAATATGTGCTTACGAAGTTTTTAGCGTAAATTAATTAGATTGTTCATTTGCATGCATAGGTAACATACCTACAAAGTTGACATATTTGTTCAATGAATAACGTATTCATTGAACGAGTAGAGAATTGATGTTCAAAACAGGATATTTTCAACAATATTATAAATCTGTATAAGTAAGCAAAATTCTACGTTTGAAAAATAACAATTTAACTTAAACAAAATGCATATAACGCTATAATAATACACTCACCTAAACCAGTTTTGTTGGATTTCTTTATTTTCGCCTTTTCGCGGCGAAGAGCCGCTAACAAGTAGTCCATTTTCTTTTTCAGTTCTTGAACGGTACATTTCATTTCAACGGACAGTTCGTCCCATGCTTCCTGTTTCGAGTTCCTGTTATAATAGTTCTTATGTGTCGGGTTCCATAACACCTCCTTATCTCTATAGGCACTGATGTACTTTAAAACCTTTTCGTTGGACCAGTTCATAGTGAACGCAGCGCGTGCGACGGAATGATACGTGCACTCTTATTGGACCACACGTCCACACTAACGCCGTATCCGTATCACTGAAGGATGAGGATAGAATAAAAACAGACTCGGCGTGAAACTGGTTGTAATCGAGACCATGTATTATGGCTGTTTGTATCATTAGGTACAACTTCACACGAGGGATCCTGATACGCGTATCACGGTGTGCGTATCATCTTCACCTTCGTATCGATACGATGTTCGATGCGCTCAAAATATGATGGGATGATGAAACGAAAATTGAATTGGCAGAATGATTGGCTTAAGGTTGAGTTACACTGAAAGAACGAAGTTTTTTTTATACAACTTAGAATGGCAAACAAGCTGACGGCCCATCTAATGGAAAGTGGTAACCGTCGCCTATAGACATGAGCAGTACCATGGACATAACAGAGTATAATATTTCGCCCATGATACCCCCCCCCCCCTATGCGTTGCCATTCCTGAGGACTCAGATGTTATTCCTCTGTACCCAGTAAATTCATAAGTGCATATGCTGGATTAAAACGGTGTTTACACTAAAGAGCAAGGAATGAACTTTTTTCATTGATAATGAAGTGGTAACCCTACCTGGGCTATTGGTATATGCTGGCGGGACACCTGTAAGAGATGAAAGGTGAGTATAAAAGCAAGAAAAGTTGGTCCATCGTAATGTTTTCGTTAAAAAATTCAATGGTTTTTAACCGTCGTTTTATTATCAACCGGAGAGATTTATAATATAGTCATAAACAAGACGCAATATTCCATTTTACTAACAATCGAGATTCTCTGAAAAATATAAGAGCCAATTTGTAGTATGCCAGAGAGCTCTTCTGTTTTTGTCGTGAAATGACATGAAATTAATTGCGATGAATGTAATGAGGTAAGTTTAGATAAAATTATACATTTTGTAAAGCCTTAACATTCCTCAACATTTTTACATGTATTATTATTGCTAGCTATTAATTGTAAGTTATATTAATAATTGTATGTAAATACGTAAACTTTATCGTTTTCATTAATTGATTCAATATTATTTTTATTTCGTTTTCTCTCTCATTAATGAAAATTTTCTAACATAGAGAGATACAATCATAACGCAATTATTCAATGATATTTAACCATATTTAACATTTTTAAACCGGATTTAGCAACATGAATCACTGACGCCAGAAATATGTAGGTAAAAGTGACATTCCATAACAAGAGAAAATAAAAAAATAGTGAATGCTCCGGATATTTTAAACACACTTTTCCTATATTATTGATTTAACACATGCTAGTCGAGTGTAGTGTGAATAAATGATTTTAGAAAAGTAATTAGAATTTGCGGAAAGAGCGATTGTCTTTTATAAATGATATTTTTATTTAAATAGGTATATATATATATATATATATATATATATATATATATATATATATATATATATATATATATATATATATATATATATATATATATATAACTACACAACATATATATAACAATGATATAGCTTGATTTGTTGTTTAACAATATTAATGAAAAGATAATTGAATTTTATTAAAATTATTATGGGAATAACGAAATTAGTAATAGCTCTATATAATCGACACTTGAAATAAATTGATCAATTGGTAATGTAATATAATACAGTTTTTTTTAATGGATGCTAATGGAATAGTATTCCCGTCTGTGTTAACGGTATAAGCTGGCAGGGCACCAATGAGGGGTGATAATTGTGAATGAAAAGATTATGAATAGTCCTAGAATTCAGTAGGATGGTTTCCAGGGGGAGCACGTGGATGTCGACTTGCCACGGTATAATGAAACTGGTAGTTCTCATTACTAACAACTCCCTCGCCCTGTGATATAGTATTGGACATCAGCGGACTGTTTACGATCGGGTCAATCATTCGTTTCTTTATAATCGTATTTTCATTATGTTATATTGAACGGACATAACAGAGTATACTGTTTCGCCCATGATACCCCCCATGCGTTGCCACTCCTGAGGACTCAGGTGTTATTCTTCTGTACCCAGTAAATTCACGCCATATCCCACCCTTCAAAACGAAACACAGCCATGCAAAACATCTGCTTCACGATTGAAACCCGAATATATTTCAAGCACATCACATTTTCATTATGTTATATTGATATTAACACATACATAACATTACATATTATTATTATTATGAAGAATAAAAATAAAACTAGTTTATACAGTAGGTTTACTTTAAATCCCGTTACAATTTGCCGTAGAAAAATGCATTGTTATGCTTTTTTGTAGGTTTTTGTTTAGAACATTCTCGATAACAAATTTTATCAATTAAATAATTTTATTAAAGTTTTTATATATATATATATATATATATATATATATATATATATATATATATATGTATATAAGGATTGAATTGTATATAAACTAGATCGAGCTTTTTCGATATGTTTAACAATATTAAGTTAAAAGTATTTATTACATTAAAATATTAATAATTATCTTGTACTAGTACGGAATCATTGTAACAGTTTTATTTGTGTTTATGATATCATTTACATGAAATGTCTGTAGTTATAAATGACTTTAGTCTTTTTTTTTTTACAACTTGGATGATAATGATGGAAAGTGGTCCCGTCTGCGCTATAGACATAAGCAGTACCGGGACATAACAGAGTATACTGTTTGCCCATGAACGTTGCCATTCCTGAGGACTCAGATGTTATTCTTCTGTACCCAGTAAATTCACATATTCCACCCTTCAAACCGAAACACAGCCATGCAAACACAATTGCTTCACGGTAGAAACACGAATGGACAGAAGTACACAAGCAATCGTACTTTTGTACAAAGTCTGTTTTTTTTTTGTCTTTTCAAAGTAATGAATTGTATGCTACATTTATTTAAGGCCAACCTGAAAGGTAATTTAATTAGTTCCTTTCAAGGAGCAGGGGATTCCTGGCTTGTGACAAAACGTATTAATTATTAAACGTATTCTATTGTAGGAGCATAGTTTCAATAGAATTATTATTATGCAAAATCTTTCCATGATAAATGCACGGTTCTATTGAACTTTACAATTTATAAAGGTGTAGTTACACCGAGTAGTCGAATGCTCGACCATAAAAGGGCATTCTTACGTTGCTGTACTGCGTTCGTGAACTATTTTAATTTATGTAACTTACAATGGCAGAGAAGAGAAGACCCATCTGACAGATTGGTCAAGGCGGCGGTTGATATGGTGATATAGTAAGTAAAGGGTATATATATATATATATATATATATATATATATATATATACACCTGGTATATACCAATAAATAAGGTTGCCTGGAAGAGATAGTTTTATCGATAAGGTTGTCCATTGTTTTCTCAGTGTGTACAATAAGTTTACTATTGTAATCTTTTGGAGGAATTTCTAGCAAGTTACCCTATCAGGTCGACATCCATGCGGTTCCCCCTGGATACCATCGTGGTTAATTTTTGTGGAATTCATCCTGCTTGCTTTCATTCTCACGTATCATCTCTCACTGATGCCCTGTTAGCATATACTTATAGCGCAGGCGTAGTTACCATAGCATTTTCAAATATTAAAAAAAAAACTCTTGCACTATGCTCTTTACTGTAGCTACACCTTTACGGAAGCACGTAGTTGTGTTTCCATGGATCAGACTTCACATAAACTTAATATAAACCGGTTATTTACATTATTATAATATACGATTAATTTATTACTCACTCGTGTTGTGACTGCTAAAGTTCACGGGTCGCCAACGAAGCTAATGCAATGTGTAGGTGAATAAGTGTTGGGTGAAGGCCGCGCGATATGACACAATGCGTTTTAGATTATGGTTGCTACGTGAGACACGTATTGTAGGCATACATTGTACACAGAAAGTATTGATATAAGGTCTATCCAAAAGCTGCTTGGAAGGGATCGCTTTAAGCGATAAGGCCGCTCATTGTTTTTTTCACTGTGAACATTTCTTGTTTATTGTTTGTATCTATAATTAATAAGTTTACTACTGTAGTCTTTTAGAGGAAACAATAATGAGTATCTATCTATCTTTTCTAAAAATCTAAAAAATTTTATCACCTGAACGTGAATTAGTAACACAAATTAATTTTATTAAAACGATTCCATCTTTATAAAAATGAGTGTATTCTATACGGAAGTGTTTGATATTCAGAGATCAAAAACAAAATAGCCTTATGAAGTAATTAGTATACGTTTTGTTTTGTTTGTTTATTGTTTCGTTTGTTTATTGTTTTATTTCACGTTCATAATATAAAAATTAAAAAAAGATATAATTTTCAACAATTTTGCTTATTGTATATATCTATATAATAAATATATATTTATATGAAATTATATGTGTTACAATTGACTGTTTGTAATATTATTTATTCGTATACTTTACATATTCATAAAAACATCAAATCTCCCTTAAAACTATTTTAGCTATTGTACTGTTTTGCCTCTTTCTTTTGTGCTAAATTCTCAGTTTTAATAAAAATGACAAAACTGTATAATAGTTAAAGTGGGTTTGTAATAGACTTTACTTTTTATGAATAAGGGGATTAATGATTTAGAATAGAATACATTATATACTGGTATGTGTTGGGAATGGTATTTATATTAAATAGGTAGATATATAATTTATTTGCATTACCTACTTACAGCACACAAATAATACATATATAAAAAAAGCAAAAAACATAAAAGAAGTAACATTTTTTTCTTTATTTGTATGAAGGTCATCTCTTTTTTAAATGAATGATAATTGAATGGTAACCCCGCTTGCGTTAACGATGTACGCTGGCGAAGCACCCGTAAGGGATGATAGGTGAGAATGAAAAGGCAGGTCAGTTAGCCTATCGTGATGAATTTACTTGAAATTTAGCACGATGGTTTACGGAGGGGATCATGGAGAGGTAACCTGACAAGGTTTAGATATTGCTAACAATGGGGCTGGTAATTCGCATTACTAACAATCCCTTTCCCTCTATATGAGGGTCATCATTACGAGAATCCATATTGTCTTGACGATGGTTACCGTAATAGCTTTAAAGTCGTTTCACGTCCTGCTCAAATGTTAGAGGATTTTAGAAAGAGAGAACAATTGGCCTGTAGATTCGTGATACTGCTAATAGAATTGTTTGCGGTCTTAGTACGTCGATTGCTCATCCAATATAATTATAGCTTGTTTGTGTATGTAGAGAGTGATATACAATAATTCGGCCAGTGACTGCCATG